TCATCAGTCCTCTTCGTGAGGTACCCTCTACAAAGATGAACTCTTCGTGGCTTTCGCGGGAGTAGGCGGCCAACAGAATGCATGGACGCCCCTGCCGGTCGAGCCTTCCAAGGCTCCCATGCGAGATGGTGACCTAAAGTCAGTAGTGCTGCCCCCGTAGGTCGAGCTCCTAGTAGCTTCTTGTAGGAATGGGTAACTGACGTCATTAATGAGGCTGATGCAGCGCAGCCATTGCTCATAGGCGCGACCTGGCGGCCTGGCACAGGCTCGAACTGGAGGCCTGGCCCAGGCGTGACCTGGCGGCCTGGCCCAGGCACGAACTGGCAGCCTGGCCTTGGTGCGACCTGGCGTCCTGGCCTTGGCGCGACCTGACGGCTTGGCCCAGGTGCTGACCTGGCGGCCTCGACACCACATAAGTCCCAATCGCCTCGGCATGGGCATACAAGTCCCAGCCGCCTCCTCGGCGTGGGCACATAAGACCCAGTTTCCTCTTCGGCATGGGCAAAATCAAAGATCAAGGAGAGTGGACTACGAGTCACTCCCAGAGCCTAAGGGCTAAAGTGCCGAATTGATAAAAGACCTTGGCACTACATAAGACCCAGTCGCCTCTTCGGCATGGGCAAAAATTAAAGATCAAGGAGAGTGGACTACGAGTCGCTCCTAGAGCCTAAGGGCTAAAGTGCCAAACTGGCAAAGACTTCGGTACCACATAAGACCCAGTCGCATCTTCGGCATGGGCAAAATCAAAGACCATGGAGAGTGGAGTACGAGTCGCTCCCAGAGCCTAAGGGATAAAGTGCTGAATTCGCAAAGACTTCGGCTCCACATAAGACCCGGTCATCTCTTTGGCATGGGCAAAATCAATGGTAAGGAGAGTAGACAGCGAGTCTCTTCTAGAGCCTAAGGAATTGAATCGACGCTTACGAGCTCATCGAATTAGTCATTTTAGGGCAAAAGGAGCAAATCTACTCCCTTCGCCGAGTTACTTTCAGCTCGAGAGTGGGGGGCAAATGATGAGGGCGGATTTGACCCTCCAATGACATTGTGACACATGGCACCTCGGAACAACTAGGTGACACTCGAAACCACTTTGGCAACAACTTGCCTTAGCCAAGTTGATGGTGTCCCCCTTGGCGGTCTGGCCCAGGCGCGACCTGGCCCTGGCGCGAACTAGCAGCCTGGCACAGGCGCGAGCTGGCAGCCTGGCCTTGGCGTGACCTGGCGGCCTGGCACAGGCGCCAACCTAGCGACCTGCGAGAGGTGCTCGGTGACAAATTTGGCATGCATATCCAAACACTCCCACGACCCTTGGAAGTTGGCCCATGTGCCGAATGATCCGGAGGGTGGTCAACGTGCATGGCGAATACCTTAGGGAATCTCAGACCACTTAGACGACTTCTCAGAAATCTTGGAAATGGTGCATGAAACCCACACCAAACAATGCCTATATAAAGGCACCAACCCCAATGGCATAGGGGGACAAGTAAGCATATTCTAGCTCTAATACTTTGTGATTTTTAATTCGCAGTCTACTATGAGAGTACTGACTTAAGCATCGGGGCGACCTCGTCAGATTAGCCACCCCGGTTCCTCTGACATTGATTCCTTGTAGGTCTCTAAAGAACTACGAAACTCAACACCTAATAGGCAGGTCGACACTCTGGTCAACTCGTCACTTAACCTGCCTAGCTTGGCCCAGTCAACTCGTCACCTAACCTGCCTAGCTCGGCCCAGTCAGTTTGACACCTAACCTACCTAGCTTGGCCCAATTAACTCAGCAGCTAATCTACCCCTAGCTCGACTTGGTTTGCTCGGCATCTAGATCCTCATCCAGCAAAAATTCACTTCGGCCATTGAGTCATCGACCACTTAAAAACAAACTGAGATACTTAGTACAAAAAATTGATTCATCAATACGATTCAATCCCGAGTCTCTTAATCCCGTCTCAACTACAACCCATCAGTAAAGCTTACCAATTAGCCAAATGGCGCTTTGTTAGATTGGATTGAAGTTGCATGCAATCATATATCGAAGGGTACAAAGTTCATTAAACTCTGAATCTAATAAATTATATAAAAACATCATCCAAATCCAAAATAATCAGATATGATCAATATCAAACAAGTCTGCCCATCATCCACGAGGCCATGACTGTACTTATACATGCTTTAGGCTCACAAGATCCATTATAGATCTAATGTGTATGGTTGAAATGGGAGAAGAAATCTTAGTGACTGTCGGAAAATCCTTACCTGCTGGAATTTTTGCCCACACATCAAAGCATCACACTCAGTCACATAGGATATGGTTGCCTTTTGGCCTTTTCCTAGTGCTGACCAAATGATTCCAATCGCGTGGCTATTAAGCTCTCCGCTGATTTTGTTTTTCATCTACAACTTTGCAATACACCTATTGAAGTCCGGAGCTACTGGGTAGGGGTTTTCTATTCCGAGTCTTCCATTCCATACAAGTTGGTACAAGAAGAGGAAGCTTATTGGATCTTGTAGCCCTTGGAATGCAAATACGAGGCACGAAAATGTTAAATCCGATGATCTTGATATACACAATATTTCGAAATCGGAATCCTAGTATTTGTCATGGTTCTGAGAAACAGCTTAGCACTTCTCCCTATGAAATTCGCTGTTTACAAGTTGTCAACGCACAGTGGACTATATGTACTTGTCTCCTTTTGTATAATCTAATATATTAGAGCTCATAAAAGGGATTAACATAGGCAAGATCTAAAGGAGTACAAGTTGTTTGATAAAATGCCCGAGTGAAGCAAGAGACAAATAACGCACAGTGAGAAATATATAAAATATAAACAAATGAAAGAAGCAAAGATAGAAAGGTCACCATCCTCTACATATAATACGAATCACTGGTCCGTTTTTATAATATTTTGCGTATATAGTATTTTGTCTCCTTTTCATCATCTGGTACTTGTAATCTTGCATTTTAAGCCAGTGTTTGTTTGTGGGGTTCCAGAGAATAATCCAAAGGTGAAAAAAAAGAGGTAAAGGGCAAAAGTGCGAGATCTCTATCCTCACCCCTCCGTATCTTGTTCCAATCGCTTTGCGAGAGCAACTTCCATTTTTCAATTTTGATACGCTCTCGCGTGAAATATCTTATGCACCGCCTTCCGTTTTTCCGTTGCCGGCAACGGACTAGATGATGGATGGCAGAGAGATCATCTAAATGACCGGTCGGGCAACTGCAAATTTTGCACTCACCCTCGTGTTAGGGGTGCTCACGGTTAGATTAACTGAATTGTGGGTTTATTATTGAAACCGAACCGATATTATTGATTTTCTCGAAACTGATAATTAAAATCGAATCGAAGCCAATCATTTAATCGATAATTGACTGGTTTAATTAACTGTCAGTATGATTTATCAGTTTTTTGTTTTTTTGTTTTATATTTATAATATATTATAAATAATTATATAAATATATAATAAAAGTAAAAATACATATAAAACATTATATTTTAAATAATAAATAATAAATAATATATTATATATTTTAAACATATTTTTATATAATATATATTTATTAATTTATAATATGTGAATAATATAAAATATAATATACATAAATATATATAATGTATAGAAATATGTATATATACCAATTGGTTCAATTAACCATCGATTTTTTATATTGGTTAACTGAAACTGAACCGATTACCTTTAATTTTTTAAAAATATTGAATCAAAATTAAATCGGCTGATTCAATTAATCAGAAATTTCAATTCGATTTTTCTTGTTCACCCCTAAATTGTTCAATATGTCACCTTCTATCGTTATAAGTATCTAACCACAACTAACAGCACCCACCAAATGGTAGCAATTAAGAAAGAAAATCTCACCTGAACACCTGGTTAGCTAACTCTTTCTGTCTGCTGCTCCTCCAGTCAAAAGATAAAACTTTATTTCGAGTGGTTGTGGGGGTGCCCACATCCAACAGAGGGAATACCGAATACCCAAGTCTAGTGTTGTTTACTTTCATTTTTAAAAGTATCTTCTGAATAATCCAAGCAATTGGGATTGTTACCTGGAAGCTTCCACTTTCCATAGCATCTTCCTTGTGTTTTTGAAAAAAATTATGCCCCCTCTTACGGTACGAAACAAACATAGCCTTAGCAAAAATCATGGCGTGATTGAATTTACAGATGACTTATAGGTCAGCATATGCATGAACAGAGCGCATACCATCACAACCAGTGGTCCTCTAAACTGTAAGGTCTAGGGCAAGTAACAAGTTTACTCCACGAACCGAGCTCCTGTTTAGGCGCTATATGTACACGTGGCCAATCTAATTGTTTAAATTTGCCACGTGGCAAATCAGAAAAGCTTAGCTTCTGTTGCTGAGTCCCAGCCTTCCGGGTAATCTATTATCTACAGGGCTAATGACTCTAGTGCAGTGAGTCCACACGATCCAAGGGTCCAACTCCAAGGACATGTTTGGAGTAGTTTGGTTTGGTTTATTCTTATTCGAAAGTGGTTTCCCTCCCTCCGCTCGGAGTCGTAGATGTCGGGAGTCGGGACCACCAAAAAAGCAAAAAACGAAAAAAAATGTGTGAAAGAGAGACGGTTTCTCTGGCCTTCTTAACTCCATGGCCGCTGCCACGCTTCCCCTTTCCTGTTTTAGTAAATTTGTAACTTCGACAGTCAGTTAAAAGCTGCAAAGTGTTTCTCAGTTCCAAACCTGTAATTAATATATTTTTCGTTAATAGTAAGAAACAGTAAATTCTCAGCTACAAAATTAATTAAAACCCCACCGACCCTTTTCAGTAAATGCAGAAACCAAACACATGACACAGTACTTTCTCTCAAGTCTCAACTGTTTTTGGTCCAAACAAAAAAATTTTATAAAATAGAACAATTTCATTTACGAGGCAAATTTAATAAAAAGAAATACATTTATTATTCTCTGCCAAGTTTCTGAGCTATTGGGACCTTCCTTTCCCCCTCCATATATAGAGGATTGTGTTCCTCCACATTTCTCCCAACTATCTCTCTCTCTCTCCCTCTGCTTCTTTTCGTCCGAGACTCTGTTCTATCTCTGGGTTCTTTATTGGTTTATCAGAAGTTTTAGCTGATAAACCATAACAGCATTTGCATTTCCCCATTCCATCCACCATTTCGTGGTGCTTGTGAGGAGAAGGATTCATAGGTTCCTCACTTGAGTTTTAGATCCATTTTGTTTGTAGTGTTCGTCGCGGAACAGATCTGACTCTCTTGTTTGTTTACAGATCAGATCAAGTTCCTGGACTTGATTCTTCTTTTTATTTTTCTCTGTTGAAAGTACTCTTGTGTATTTTGGTTTATATGGAGAAGTTTCGCAGACCCATTGCCATGGCTCCCCTGTTTCTGCACGCCATACTTGTTTGGCTTCCTCTTGCTTTTGCTGGCCATGATTACGGCCAGGCTTTGAGTAAGGGCATTCTCTTCTTTGAAGCTCAGAGGTCTGGTTACCTCCCCGGGAACCAGAGAATCCAGTGGAGAGCCGATTCTGGTCTGCAAGACGGAAAGGCCAGTGGCGTAAGTTCTTTTTTCACTCCAACCCATTGATCTTTCTTTTGCTTTTCTCCCTTTTCACTACTTCCTCTTTTAGCTTTTTGTTTGACATTAATCCAGATGAGTATGATTTTAACCTGATCTTTCCCTTGTATTCTCCGTCCCCTTTTCATTTCTTCGAAACTGGGTTTTGCTGGAAATGGTTTGCTATAGTAATCAGCATCCACTGTAAATAAATTATTCAAGTCCAGTGGGGTAGTGGGAGAAATTTACTTTACCCTGTTCTTCCTTATTCGACTGGAATTCATTCATTGTTTCCAGTAACTTAAAAGAACTGGTCTCCTTGGATCTCTGTCTAATTTTCACTCATTTTCTTTCTTCTATAAGATGTGGGATATGAAATGTGCACCAAGTAGTAATTTCTTCATCCGCTTTTGTGTTTCAGGTTGATCTGGTAGGAGGGTACTATGATGCAGGAGACAATGTAAAGTTTGGCCTCCCAATGGCCTTCACCATTACCATGATGTCATGGAGCATCATCGAGTATGGAAAACAAATGGCTGCAACCGGAGAACTCGGACATGCCATGGATGCAGTGAAGTGGGGCACCGACTACCTCATTAAAGCTCACCCACAACCATATGTCCTCTACGGAGAGGTATTATCAAAGCCCTGTTTGGTTGGCTTCACATTTTAACTTTGTTGAAAGTTTTCTATTCTCTCCCCATTTTTTACCAATCACCATCAGAAAATACGAAAAATCCATAATGGTTGAAATAAAGCAGAAAGGAAATTCTGTCTATTCTCCTTGGAACCTGGTGTCTTTATTCTGATTTCTGAATATATTTAGTTCTCATTGGTTCTTCTTTCTGGTCCTATTCCCTCTGTCAACTTCGTTTCTTGCCGGGTTTTAATTTAACAACCACTAACCCAAAGTTCTAATAATTATAATTATTAGTTCTTAATTGGTGATTCAGATTGATTTATAACTAAAACTAGTGTGTCGTTTTCTCGAATCTTAACGAACTAATTCTGTTTAGCGATAACTGAGAACTTTTTGTTTGTTTGATTAGGTGGGTGATGGTAACACTGACCATTACTGCTGGCAACGGCCGGAGGACATGACGACCGACCGCCGGGCTTACAAGATCGACGCCAATAACCCGGGATCCGACCTCGCAGGGGAGACTGCAGCGGCAATGGCAGCAGCCTCTCTCGTCTTCCGGCACCATAATCCGTCTTACGCCAATGAACTGCTTTCCCATGCCAAGCAGGTTTGGCTTTCTCCTCCGTTTCATTTATGCAATTATGCTTCCCGCTTCGTATCAGTAACACAGTTGTATGGCGCATATTAGTACAGTCTAACGTGCGCTATGAATATTCTATTGTTATAACCGGGGCTAATAAAAAATCTGGTCAGTGTGGACTGCGCACTGCGGAGTTTTTCCGGCGAACGCCGGCTTTCGAGGTAGGGATCTGCGACCAAGAAAACGCTCCCAATAGATCTGCAGCCGCACATTGGGAATATCTCCCTTGTCATTCACGGGAGATGCTTCCGATATACGGCTGTAATTGCAGGTTGGGACGATGTTGGGACTGTGTGTGAGCTGATCCGGGCTTGGGAATCTATTTTGTCATTTTTTCTCTTAAAAAAAAGAAAACATCATGGATCGTGAATATTGACCGTCCAGTTCAGATCTGTACTTAAATCTATACCGTCTGTTTACGATCCGTCAAAAGCGCGATACGTTGGTTGTACCACGTGGTGATCTGTCGGTGCTAGAGTACGGCAGTCATAACTGCCTTCTTTGGTCTGGGAACATTTTATTTTACAATAATACCCTCACGTAATTTGTGAAATTTCTTAGGTTAAAAAGAAGATGAAACATGAAATCAAAGGCTCAAAGCACAGCTCAAGCTGCAACTGCTAGCTTGTATTCTTATGATCTTATCTTCATTTTTATTTTTCAGCTTTTCGATTTCGCGGACAAATACAGAGGCAAATATGACAGCAGCATTACGGTGGCGCAGAAGTACTATCAGTCTGTCAGCGGCTACGGGGTAAGAAATATCGTCTTCTCTCCTGTCTTCTATATTCATACATCCAAAGTGTTTGATCTATGGTCTCAACGACAGCAACAACATATGAAAGTTAAAATTTGAATTTCGATGTTTTTCTCTTCAAGGATGAATTGTTGTGGGCAGCCGCATGGATGTATCAGGCAACCAACGATGAGTATTACCTCAACTATCTTGGTAATAATGGTGATTCTTTGGGTGGGACTGGTTGGGCTATGACTGAATTTGGCTGGGACGTAAAGTATGCCGGAGCCCAAGTTCTTGTTTCCAAGGTGGGTAAAGCCCCAATAGACAGATTAATATTTCATTGGATTTACATGGCATCTTATGCATATCAGCGCATACTCTATGATAATTTCTGCAGAATTTCAAAATATTTTCTAGTCTTTGCCCATTGCGACCATTTTAACTTTGGCAATTTGAACCATTGAATCCCACGATTTCAAAATATTTTCTTCATGATTGGTTTACAATTAGTTGGTGACCCGAGTTCCCACATTCATTTCTCAGTACCCGTCTAAGGCCTTTTCACTTCACTTTTTGCAGTTACTCATGCAAGGAAAGGGAGGCCACTACTCGTCGGTCTTCGAGAGGTACCAACAGAAGGCCGAGTACTTCATGTGCTCTTGCCTCGGAAAGGGAACACGAAATGTTCAGAGGACCCCAGGAGGCCTTCTCTTCCGCCAAAGATGGAACAACTTGCAGTTCGTCACCAGTGCCTCTTTCTTACTAACTGTTTACTCTGATTATCTCTCTTCCGCTGGAAGAAACGTCAAGTGTGCTGCTGGCACTGTCTACCCATCTGAACTTCTTGGTTTTGCCAAGTCTCAGGTACTCAATTGATTTTTACTGAAGTATCTCTACTTAAAGCTAAAGCTTGTAGCATTCAAGTGTTTCTTTGAATGAGTTGATTGATTTCGATATTTTGTTAATTCTTAGGTGGACTACCTACTTGGGGACAACCCAAGAGCTACGAGTTATATGGTTGGCTATGGCAGCAATTATCCACGACAAGTCCACCACAGAGCATCCTCGATTGTCTCCATCAAGGTCGACTCTAAATTTGTTAGTTGCCGAGGGGGTTATGACACTTGGTTTAGCCGAAAAGCCAGTGACCCCAACCTCCTAACTGGTGCTGTCGTTGGTGGCCCTGATGCTTATGACAACTTTGCTGATCAGAGGGACAACTACGAGCAAACAGAGCCTGCCACCTACAACAATGCTCCCCTGCTTGGTGTGTTGGCACGGCTGGGCGGAGGCCATGGTGGCTATAATCAGCTCTTACCAGGTTCAGAAAACAATCTCTTCTTATAAATTTACAAAGTATAAGTTAGAAAGATTATCAATAGTTTTGTTTTAATCATTATTGACGAGCATTTTCATGTTTCACAGTGGTACTCCCGGCTCCTAAACCAGTGGTTAACCAACCAAGTCCAGCACCACAAGCCAAACCAACCCCTGCTCCAGGTATATACATCAAGTTTTCTTGTTATGGTTGTTTTGCTTTTATTTCTCTCTTACTATTCCTCTTTCCATGGAAATTAGAGTCATCTAGCTCTGATGTAACCAATGCCCGGGTTTACATACACAGGAGAGCAGGGAGACAACATTTCACTAAAGAGACTTTGATATTGAATACCAGTAATCTGTAAATTGCAGCTAAAAATTCTTTGACTTCAACATAAAATGGGGTGGAACTTTCTCAGGCTGAAATATTTCAGCTATACTTTTTGTTCATTATGACAGAAACATTGTTTTCTGAATAATTAACAGAGAAGCAAATTAAAATGGGTGGAAATAGTGGCTGAAATATTTTAGCATGAATTATGAAAGACTTCAGGAAAGAGGGTAAAAAATTCATTCCTCCCCCTGATTGCACATGGGTTTTTGTCTTTCCAAAATCATGATGTAGATAGGACCAGTTGGGTCATTCAGTTGGGTTGACCTTGAGATATTATGGGTGGGGCTTGGCAAAGGCATGCTGTAAAGACCTCCATGTGATTATGTCTCTCTCCTCGATTCCTTGGAAATGAGCAACTTGTGAAGATCCGGTTTTGGTTAAACAGGTAAACTAAACTCTGTAAGCTTATCTCGTCTTTGGCAGCTAAATCCTCAACTCCAATTGCAATTGAGCAAAAAGCAACAACCTCGTGGAACGCCAAGGGGAAAACTTACTACAGATATTCAACCATAGTGAAAAACAACTCTGGGAAAACTGTGAAGGACCTCAAGCTTTCAATATCCAAGCTATATGGTCCTCTCTGGGGCCTCACAAAGTCTGGTGAAGCTTATGGTTTTCCATCCTGGATCACGTATTTACCTGCTGGAAAAAGTCTTGAATTCGTTTACATTCATTCAGCCTCTCCTGCCGACATCGCAGTCTCAAGCTACACTTTATCTTGAGTGTATAGACAACTGGAACACGGAGAAGAGAAGGTTTGCTTGGTTTTTAGGGGGTTTGAAATGTAACAATTGTGCAGCTATAGTGCCATACGAAGTGAAGTCCAGAAAGGATCTTTTTTTATCCTTTATGTGGGTTCTGGGTGGGGTATTAGCTAAAACTTAGGCTCAATAAGATGAGAGTTTGGGGGAGAAAGGTGTGAAGAGACAAAGAAAAAGAGTGCTCATCCTCTTTCCCCTCCACTCTATTGTAGTTACATATTGCCGGAGGTTTGATAGTTTTAAGACATGGAAAGATGTGAGAGAGAGAGAGAGAGAGAGAGAGTTGGGAGGGTGATTGAGGCTCCTCTCAACTGATTTGAAGTCTTCTGTTTCTTTGTATTTAAGCGACTTTTGATGGGTTCTTTACTTCTTTTTGTGTACTGAGGTTGTATGCTCTGCAGCTTTGTTCTTTCCAATATGAATATAGTTTGTGCGAAGAACTGCATCTCTTCGCTTCTGATCTCTGTAAGAGAATGGTGTTACTCATTGCACTCCTATTTGTTTTGATTTGTGAATGACTGATGGTGCCAATGTCATGTAGATGTATGCAAGGTTCAAAATATCAATATAGTCTGATATCGGACAGTATCGGTTGTTGCTCTCCCTTTTTTTTTTTAGTTTTATTTCAGAGGGGTCAATTTAAGGCCGTCTACTGGGTTAGACCCCAAAACACTCTAAAGAGAGACGTATGGAAAGCTCCTACTACGATATGTATTGGCTGATGCAGCTTTATACGTATCAAAATTTCGAACCTCGGATGTATGCATTTTAAGGGGTCTTGGGGATACTGCTAAATGCTCCCTCTCTGGTGAGAAAAAGACAATATTGGTTTCATTGCCCACTTGCGACTCCATGGATTTTTCTATGGCTGTCTTTGTTTGCAGTGTAAATACTCCATCTGTGTTATTTTATATTTTGGTCTTGTTTCATACATGTTTCAATGAAGTATAAATGATAATCGAGAATTGATGTAATGCAGATCGAGTATTACATCGATAATCGAGAATTCTAATAAAAATTTTATAAAATTTTATCCATATTCTCCACTCTCCGGTTCCTATCAATTTTTTTAAACCAATCCGTGCAGAACTCCACTGGTCCGGTATTTACATCTTTTTCAAACGCAGCCAAATTGAGATTATTTTCAAAAATTTCCATGAAATTAGGGTCGATACATGATACAGAGTTCACTTTTGCTACGAATCATAACCTTTGATACATTGCTGTAATGCAGTGGCCTTACCATAACGTAACTTCATCTAATTCATGGTGAAAATGTTGTTGTGGTAAAAGTAGGAAACACAAGAAATTATCATCACGGTGTAAAAGCCAAAACGAATTTGAGACATTACGAATGGGAGTAAATAGCTATGGAGCATACATCTATCCACAGACAATGAAGTGCCTATGAATATGAATATCAATTATGAACCTGGACCAGACGGAAACAAGCAGGCCAAACAGATTTTTTTTTGGAATGCCCAGTTCTCAAAAATGTTCATTTGGTCAAAATGGTTTCGTACTAGGATGATTGTGTATCATGCATGGTTTTCGAACCGTCGTTCATCCGAACGGTCAGACTGTTCAGCCTGGGAACTGTCAAGGCAACTAGTTCCGTTTTACCCCAAATCTAACCCTTGAGCCCTAGCCAAAAATCATTAAATTGGTCAACGACCTGTTGATCTGAGTGATTGAACTGTCAATCTGTTTAATATTTTTCTGGCCATTTTTTTGGTTATTATTATTATTTTAATTTTTAAAATTTTGTCAGAATGGACCATCCATTCAAATAGAAGTCAAACTGTCAACCTAAAAACCAATGGCCAGAACAGTTCCAATTCCCAATCATTTTTAAAACATTGATATAATATAAGTGATGCAACTTGGGTCAGATCGAGTTGAGAATTTGTTAAATTTTTAATGGGCCTGAAACCTAACCGGAGCCCAATATAGTTGAAATGCTTCCCAATTTACAAATTAGTAATGATCAGAAAAATGAAAAAGGATCACCACGACTCCACGAGAGCTACAACCCCGTAGAAATCCGTTTCTTTCTGGGCCTAAGGTTAAGGTTAGTATTTAGCCCGGCGGTCCATATGCCAGATTGATGCAGGAATAAGCCGGGCTATGCGTGCCCACTTGAATCCCATGCTAAAAGCTTTTTTTTGTTCCCTTCTTTTCTTTTTTATTTATAATTTCATGTTCATGCTAAAAGATAGAACAGACAAGGCAGTTTAGTGCCATTTCATTTACAAATAGCAATTAGTCAATTTTTTTTGCACATTAAATTGGGGGTGTTCTATAACATAAATGTTTTTGTTTTCATTTATTTTTTGAATTGCCACATCAGAAAAAAAAAAAAGGGGCGGGGCTCTCCCCATCACTGCAGGGATCCCCATTTCTCATGATTTTTTATAATGTTAACCATTTTGTTTTTATTTTTTATTTTATTTAAAAAAATAAAATTAAAATAGTTAAAATTTACAATCCTATTAGAAAAGATTCAATCATACATTTAAAAATATTAATATATAGATGTATGTGTACATATATACATATATAACATATGCATATCTCCCACGGGGATTGGGGAAATGGGGAAAATTGCCATCCCTATCAAGTAAAGATATGGTATGAGAAGAGTTTTGACCAATCAAAACCCATCCATGAATTTTGATAAATAACACCTTATTTGCTACCACGTTTATGATTATAATTCATTGGTCAATTGTTTTTCCAATATCATATCTTTTCTATATCATATTCGAATTAGAGGTGTAAAACGGGCCGTACTGGGCCAGCACGATACAACCCATGTGTGGCCCACGCAAAGTGCAGGCCGGGTGGAACCCTCCCTTGGGATATTTTGATGGCTCGGCCCGCATGGGCCCGTGCCATGCCACGAGCCGGGCTAAAGCTACTTATTTAAAAAAATTGAAAAAATCTTAAAATGTTGATGCATATAATTGTTTATATACAATAATTAAATAAAATAGTATAATGAAATTGAAAACAATTATTTATTTTATTAATATATTATATACTATATTGTTATATAATTATAATCTATATAATATATATGTATAAATATATAATGTATAAATATTATATAAATATATAAATATATATGGGTCGTGCCAAGCCGGCCCACAGACCTGAAACCCCAAGAACTGCATGGCCCATACAATCGTGACGGGCCACGGCATGGTTCGTGACCATTGGGCCAGGCCGGTCCGGGCCATGGCAGGCCGAAGGCGTCACGCCCGATTTACACCTCTAAGTGGAACCCAGAAAATAAAATCACGTTCTTGAACTCTGTTTTTGTTTTAAGGGAAAAATAAGTTGGTTTTGTTTTAATAAATAATACATGTTTTTGGAACCAATAAAATATTGGTTTTTAAAACAAAAACAAATTTTCTAATACAGAAATTATATGATTTATGGAACATGATGTTCAATAATCAAATGATAACATGTTTTTTAAACCAGATTCAATAACTGTTTCAGGTTTCAGTTTTGAAAACAAAAACACATACACAAAAAATAACATGTTTCTTGTGTTTTTGTTTCAAGAAACAACTTGTTTTCAAACAAGATGGTTTTGATTTGTTTTTGGAATCGCTACATCAGCAAAACAAAATCTTGAACTCTAATTTTGTTTTCAAAGGAAAAACAAGTTGGTTTTATTAAAAAAAAAAGAATACATGTTTTTGAAACCAACAAAATATTAATTTTTAAAACAAGAACAAATTTTCTAGTATAGAAATTATATGATTTATAAAACATGATGTTGAATAATCAGATGAAAACATGTTTTTGAAACCAGATTCAAGAACATGCTTTTGGTTTTAGTTTTGAAAATAAAAACACATACACAACCAAGAGCATGTTTCTTATGTTTTAATAACAATTTTTTTCAAACAAAATGGTTTTGATTTGCTTTTGAAATCAGCAACAAGGAAAAAAATCAATATATTGTAGACCACCCACCTATAAGGGTTTGACTCAAATCAGGTTTTTGGTCGAGTCAACCAAACTCAACTTGAGAATAAGTCCGATTGCGATGATTGAAGGTTGGACTAGACTTACAATTGAAAAATATTAACCTGACCCAATCTAAATTTACCATGTTTTTAAATTTAAATATGTAAATATTTTTAAACAAGAAAATGATGTGGGAGTAGAAGAGGTAGGCTGTGTAGGTAAATGGTGTGAGAAGGTTTGGGTTTATTATAGATTTTTTTTAAAGAAAAAGTAAAAAAAGTTTTTAATTTGGGGAATTGGAGGAGCATTAGAGAATGATTCTTAAACATTTTAGTTCAAGTTTGGGGGGCCTAGTAAATATATATAAATATTGATTTAACAAAAAGTTTGGAGGGGGGGGAACCCTGCCAATATACTTGGCGATGCCGCTTGATTGGTTACTACTTTTATGATACTGATTGATTGATTACAAGTTATTTTAGTATGATACCCATAATGCCATAAAGTCATGATACCCAAAAGAATTATAACTAATCAACAACATCATAAAAAGTGGTAACCAATCAGGTGATTTTTTTTTATCAAAATTGATAGCGGCTTTGATCAATCTGGTATCACATCTTTCTAGCATTATAGATTTGGATAGTTTTAAATAGGAAAAAAAAAAGATTTTTGTAGTGTAGCATAAATATAATACTCATAATGTTTACTATTAAACAAGAAGAAAAACAAGAAACATCCTAAAAAGATGGAGGGGAAAACCAAACCACCTCCTGATCAAAAGATTTATGTTGTGTTTATTTGCACAGTACAAATGTATAGGAGTGTAAATGAAAAAAAATGTAAATTTTGGTTTAATTTTGTTTTGGATTTTACTTTATTCTGCTTTAGGTCTTATTTTATTTTATTTTTAATGCAATCAAAAACTTGCAGCCAAATCATTTGCACTATCATAGTTTTTGCATCAGTGCAAATTCATTTGCACTGCAACCAAACACTTACAAGCTATAGAGTGCAGTAATCTATTAAAATTAATGACCTATATCACAAATCTATAAAAACAAACTTAGAAGAAAGAAAAGAAAGATCATCCAAAAAAACGTAGAAGTCCAAGGCCAAGAAGAAGAAGCCCCATTTAAGGCTAGAACTGTCATCAAAGAGTCAGACTTAACAACAATAGAGTCATAAGTCAGATCCAAAGCCAATTGTATGTAAAGCACACCTGCTGGCAACCAAAAACATCAGTAATAGTTCCACACTGTCAAAAAAAAAGAAAAAGAAAAAGAAAAACTATAGAATCATCCAGCTGAAGAGGAACACAGGAGGGGTAGCTACAAGAGTTTGGAGTAATCGGAAAAGGAAAAGAGCAAAAATTCAGAACAGAAACACAGTCGGCAAAGATCTCTTAGGCTATGTTTGATTTGAAGGAAAAGGAAGGGAAAAACAGAGAAACCTATACAAGGTTTATAAAGGTTTTCCTA